GCGCCAGCTGTAACTGTGACAGTTGCTCCGACCCCCGCATCAAGAGCTTTTTGAATGGCTTCAGGCCCTGGTACGCTGGCGTAGATGGCTTTTGGACCGGACTTCGATTTGAACTCCGGGCGCGCAAGTAACTGCGTCAAGCCCCAGGTGACGTCACCAGACCCTCCCGCTGTAGGGTTATCACCGGAGTCCGAGATAAAATATGGGCGTTTGTCAGATGCCAACGCGGTATCCAAGCATTCTTTGAATGTCCCTGTGGGCGCGACGAAAGTGAAGTCCTTATGAGAATCCCAGAACAAGCGCGCCAACTTTTCAGCGCCTATGGTAACAGCCCGTTTGTCCCAGCCAGTGACCACGACAACAGCCCGATTTCGCGGTTCGTCGGCCCAGGCATAACCAACCCAAATTGCTGCATCCAAAACACCTTCCATGGCTTCAACTTCAGGGACAGCGGCATAGATATGAGCAGCCGGTTCATCTCTCGTTGAAGTTTGCTCCCCCGGCAGAAGGATAGGAATTGGTACCCAAGCCTTAAAGGGTCGCACAGTTTCGCCATCCGCCTGCCGTCGAAGCAATTGAAGCAGGTTTCGACAAGCGCGCTCTTTCGTCTCGGCAACATCTACATGAGGTGCTGTGCGGTAGCAAGTAATTAGATCCGCCTGATGCGCCAGTTCGCGCGAGACGTTGCCATGCAGATCCATTGACGCTGATACTAAGACATCAGCCCCGATGACTTCGCGAATACGCTTCAAAAGCTCATACTCTGCATCATCAAGCCCCTCGACACACATAGCGCCGTGTATATCAAACCAGAAACCGTCGATTTTCGTGGAGGCTCTTATCTGGGTAAGACGACTGACGATCTCGGCGGAAAGAGATTCGAAGGCATCTCTAGTCACCATACCACCTGGTAAAGCGTGGCCAATCAGTGCGCCACGCCACTCCGCAGCATCACCTAGAGGTGTTCCGGATTGAATAAATGGGTATCTTTTAATAATCTCCGCATCACGCTGAGGGTGAAACGCCGGTGCAAGCGTCCTTGATGGTGTAAAAGTCGAAGTCTCACAAGCCAAGCCTGCAATGGTAATAGTCGGGCGTCGCGCCATCATTATAGCTTCTAGTGAAGAAAAATAGCGAAGACGCTGAGTCTCATTTACGAACCCTTTACCTTATACACCCGAAGCACTGTGGAAGATCAAGGTCGCACACAACCTTGAAGCGATTGAATTTTGATAGGTACAATGGCTTAGTGAGCCGCTCCTCTATTTTCAAACTTCCCGACGCACTCTAAACATAGGTAAAATTTCCTTGATATCTTTGAATAAACTGCCAATATAGCCGATATCAGTATAGCAGTTGTTCTTGAATGAAAACCCACCCCCACTTCCCCGCATATAACTACGTGCCTCTTTATCTCGATCTCTCCTCTTCTATCAAAGCTTGACCCGAAAAGTAAGGTGCTGTTACATCTCCAGGGCTACCTAACCTATCTACCTACCTATATCCCCAATCTATGAGTTCGAGGCCCTCAAGATCTCGCAAGGCGAAATCAACATCAGTAGGTAGTCTATTCACCCAAATTGTATTTTTCAACCATACACTGCCCCTCATATACATTAAGAAAATCACTTGTTAAATTAGACAGATATTCCATGATAATCTCTAAAAGTCTTACAAGATCGCTCTGGCAAACCTGGAGGTAAACGCACCATGCACGCGATCTCTCGGACTTAAGCGAAGCAGCACACTGTCACAACCCCGATCAATCGGCGGCAACTTCAGCTACGAGAGTACGACGTTTATGTCTTCCATAAACATATTTATATAAACGATCCTCTCGACGTCGTGACAATTATTTCCTATGCGATCAGCTCAAGCCCTCGCGCACAATAACTAGGATACAACTATTCTAGAATTCTCCGGCTTTCGTGTCTCCTCTAGATATAGATCCATACAGACGTTTCAAATTAGCTTTCAGTCTTCATTGAAGCTGACTCCTTCTAAAACTTACAAGGTCTAGACTCCGTCCTTTTACCATACGATGACGGTGTATGTAATTTAACATGCCATGTCATAGTCGGGAAAGCTCTCCAGATGATATGCACCTCACCGGCACAGCCAGGGAAGCAGACAGCCAACATCTCCCTTTATCCATGCAAACATTGGAAAATTCCCTTAATGAGAAGGTCACTGGCTTACCATTTGTGATAGTTTCACATTGATGTTATTTTAAGATGAACAGACGCATGGCATTCCCATTACAACGTCACCTAGTTTCAGTAACGATTAACCTATGTTGCAGCTGAGAGAGCGTAGAAGGGAAAGTCGCTAAAAAATAATTTGCCGAAGCCTAAGTGAAGATCATCTTCATTCCTCTCACCTTCTCACACCAACCAATCTAGAATATGTCGTCGTATCCATATGGGCGATGGCGACGTCAAAAACTTCAGGAATACCACCAGGAGCCATCGCGGCCACTACCTCATTCCTCGGTCCGCTGACCACTACTTTCTCAGCCCCTTCAACATGTAGTACAGGCAACACATATTCTTTGGGCGAAGACATAACAGCGGTTATATGGCAGGTGGGCCCCACAAATACCGTTGATGGCTGTATGCCTTCGAAATGGGTTGTCAACGGCTATTATTCGCCAGCCATATGTCCATATGGATATACCAATGCTTGTTTCATGACACAAAGCAATGTCGAGACGACTATTTGCTGTCCGACGTATGTTGAACGAAATCCATGCTTCAAACCACTGGTGAAACTAACCAGCCTTCTACTAGCAATCTGGACTTCAGCTGCTACTCGGGAGTTGCATATAACAAATTCGGTTGCAGCTATTCGGCGCCTACCATAGCATTAACCAGCTTACAGGTTCAATACGGACAAACGACGGTCGGCACATATACGGACGTCACAATTACAACGCAACCTATCTGGGCATACAGTGTCCAGGTACAGAAGGCAGTCTCGATGACATCCGCTCCAATACCAAGCTCTTCCGATGTGTCTATCTTATTAATCCCCACTGCAATGTCGAACCCAACTTCCAGCGCAATTTCCATCACAGCTGACAGCACGCCCTCCGTCCTTGACACTACATCACCTTCAACGAGTTCAACGCCTCCTACAACTACGCTGGCTGGTGGTGCTATTGCCGGTATCGTAATAGGGATTCTAGGGGCACTAGCGCTAGGGGTCGTCAGCACCTTTTTGCTTATGCGTCGAAGGAAGACGCGGGACGTCCCTCCTCCACATCCTGACGCCACGCCAAACCAGCAACAATTTATTAACGAACCAGTCTATGAGTTAGGTGCGAAAGAGAAAGATATTCATGAATTAGACGAGCAACGTCGCCCGTCCGAGATGCCTTCGTGGGCTAGGCATATTTCCCGGAGATCTAAACAAATAGTATGGGAGCTACCCGCGTGAGGTTATACGATTCAGTAAAGGAGGATATGTACCTAGATAATATCATATATAATTTGGGGAATTTGATTTGATGAAAAAGGGGGCATATCACACGAGTGTATAAGAGCCCATAATTTGATATATAGGACTATTTGCTAATTACTCTAGTCAGGCCATGAGGTTTTACACATAATTCAAGCACGTGGTATCTATTAACCTTACTCATATGAATGGCCTCAATAGTTAATCCCCTAACTAGGCCCATGATTATGCGCTACCCCAAGGTGAGGAGCGGCCCAATCCGTAGGGCGGAAAAACCCACGAGTAAGTACATGACCAAGCCTATTCTATGGGGGCTTTCTAGATCCAGTGTAAATCAGGTTCCTATCCACACTTGTGAACTCTCATGTAACAGCTTTCGCTCATTGTTGCGTTTATCTAAGCGAATTATTATGTACATATTCATATCATCGAATATCAAGGTTCCCTAGCCGATGAGATGCGGACGGTTCCCGAAAAGGGGTTTGTGTCTACATAAACACTCAGATAACCCTGTCTATATCACACGCGATTATTTTCAATTAAGAGAGCACTCCCAAATATCAAATAACGCAGAAGTTTAGGACGTATACAGATCCTATCACCCATCATGGATAAGTTGAAGAAGGCAAAGGATGTACTCACTGGCCAAACGTATGCGTTTTCCTATCTGGTATATATGCATGCTTTAAATATGAAGCAACTAATGATCGGAGCAGTACGGCCAACCACGGCGCTCAAAGCCAGAATAAGAATGCCACCAAAGATACCATGGTCGACTCCAGTACGTGTAGCATCCCTTATCGCATGTATAAGTACTAAAAGGGAACTTCTAGTGATCGATCAGGAGGCTCAGAAGAAGGGTGTCCCAGGTGCTATTGACCCGATGATCAACAATGTTGTCAACGAGGAAATCAATAAATTATCGAAATAGCTTACCTCTGTAATATATTTCAAGATTAATATAGGCTTATATAATCTCCCATCCAACTTATTCTTACATATTTCTCCCATGTTCATCTTGTAGCCGTAAGATTTCTAATTGTCAACGCCCAAGTATTAGAGAAGCCGGATGTCGGTACCACGCCCTGATTTAAGCATTTTTAGCGAATATGAAGCCCCTAGAAACGAAACCAAGGCAATTGTAGTTCTGATGCGCGCGGTTACTCGCTCTATATCCCCAGACTTAAAGTTTAACCCCTATTTCGCAGGTCCCTAATTCTATATGAGTATTTAGAGTGAACGTAGATATATACACATCATCCTTAATAATATCTACAGCATTGAAAATGTAAAGGAAGTACCTACCCATCAATATTAGGGTTTAAGTTAGCCTATAGCTCATAGGAGTAGTCTAAACATGCAGGAACGCAACTTTTACAAACGACATCTTTGATAGTGCAACTACCCGTGCTACCCAGTGGCTGTACGATGTGCCTTCCCGCCTTCCCAAGAACAAACACCTTTGGGCAAGTACCTAGACTTATAAAGTATGGTAATACAAAAAGAATCAAACAGCTCAAAAGTGAGCAAGGATATGCAAGACCATTATCGTCCAGCGGTTAGGATGCCAGATTTTCAAATAATTCAAACTTGAATCCTCTGGAGACCGGGGTTCGATCCCCCGTAATGGTATTTTTTTCTCCTCTATCTACTACCTGAGTTAGGTAGGTGCTTTCTATAGAGAAAAAATAGTACCTATTTAATGGCTTATTTTAAGAGTTACAACTCTAAACCAGTAATGTTTTGTGGTTCTTTTCTTATCTACGCTATTCCACGAATATCTTATTGACAACGTATCATACCTCATAGAATAGCTAAGAGTGAAACCACCTACATATCTCCCCGACTGGATAAGGACTTTATAGGTGTTATACCTCAAGACAAAAGAAAAAGAGCTGGTAAATTATAGGTAATACCAATACCCGCATGAGATAAACTTAAGCCAACCCCTATTCAAAACCCCCACATCTCAATGTCACGATCATACATCACCAACATCGTTAAATCATGAATTTTCATTCTGTATCTGTACCTTATTTTGGCGACCAAGGTAATTCCCCCTATGCCTAGTACTTGCCATCTTGACCATGCAAATGCATCGGTATCGTAGCCCGTCTATGGCTTGATACCCGGACTGGGTTAAACCACCAACCCAACCCCTATTTTCTTACCCCCTTCCCCTTCCCCTTCCCCTTCCCCATCCATCCAAATATACCAAGCACCAACCCCCTAAACCTCATTACTAGGATACTCAACCACATTACTCGGCAAAAACTCCTCCTTAATACTCCTCACACTGACAAACCGACTAACAATATTCACACTCCCCGCCTTATCATTCGTCCCACTCGCCCTCGCGCCTCCAAACGGCTGCTGGCCCACCACCGCCCCAGTACTCTTACAATTAACATAGAAATTCCCCGCCGCATTCCTCAACGCCTCTTCCGCGGCGCGAATCGCCAGCCGATCGCTCGCGAACACCGCGCCCGTAAGCCCGTACTCGCTCGTCTCATCCACGAGCTTACACGCCTCGGCAAACGCGTGCTCGGGACCCCCCTTCGCGTCATCGTACACGTACGCCGTGAGGATCGGGCCAAAGAGCTCCGTGCTTAGAAGCTTGTGCGCCGGGTTCGTCGTTTGGTACACGGTCGGGTGGATGAAGTACCCCTTCGAGCCATCATATTTCCCTCCCGCCAGCAACTCCAGTTCAGGGTCGTTTTTCGCGGCGTCGATTACACCGCTTAATTTCTTGAAACTCGGCTCGTGGATTACGGGGCCGATGAACGTCTTCGGGTCCCACGGCGCGCCGACTTGGAGTTTGTTCGTCTCGGCGACGAGCTTTTCCTTAAACTCGGGCCAGATGGACTTGGCGACGTAAACGCGGCTCGTGGCGCTGCATTTTTGGCCTGAGTACTCGAAGGCGCCGCGAACGGTGTGCACGACTGCGTTTTGGATGTCGGCGGAGGAGTGCACGAGGTGGAAGTTTTTGCCGCCGGTCTCGCCGACAATGCGAGGGTATCCAGCATATCGGCCCTCGGAGACGCCTTGTCCGATTTGCCCGTACAGTTGGCGGAAGACGGCGGTACTGCCGGTGTAGTGGAGTGCTGCGAACTGCTTGTGCGCGAGTACTGTTTCTGTTACTTCGACTGGGTTGCCGGGCACGAATTGGATCACGTTCTCAGGTAATCCCGCTTCTAGCAAGATCTTGTGGACGAGGTGGCCTGCTGCCACTGCAGAGTCGGACGGTTTCCAGATTACTACGTTACCGAGAAGCGCGGGCACGCCGGCAAGGTTACCGCCGATCGCGGTGAAGTTAAAGGGGCTGACGGCGTACACGAAGCCTTCGAGAGGTCGGTATTCCGATCGGTTCCACAGGCCAGGAGAATTGTGGGCAGGCTGTTGCGCATAGAGCTCCTCCGCGTATTGAACGTTGAAGCGGAAGAAATCGCATAGTTCTGCTGCGGCGTCGATCTCAGCTTGCCAAGCATTTTTACCTTGGCCCAAGATGGTCGTGGCCATGATCTCATATCGGTATTTCGTAGAGATCAGATCGGCCGCCTTGAGGAAGACAGCAGCTCTGTCAGCGAAGGGTAGGTTCTCCCATGCTGGTTTAGCAGCTAAGGCTGCCTCGATAGCTGTGTTGACGTCGGAGGGGCTAGCGAGAGAATAATTCGCTATCGCACTGGAGTGGTCGGAAGGGTTGTACTGTGTGGATCTTCGGGATGATTTGACCTGCGCAACATGTTAATTACTGAATGAAAAGGAAGACTAAGATTGGAACTATTCATACCTCCTTGCCCCCTATTATGAGTGGTATTTCTATAGTTCCCTTCTTCTGTTGGGCGGCAACTGTGGCAAGTAAACCTTCTCTTTGTGCTGAGCCCTTCGCATAGGTATGCTATATTTTCTGTTAATCCGTAGCCCTCTAATGACCTTGATTCAATTGAATTTCACGCAAGGTGAACCTACATTTGGCTCATTAGAGACTTTTGGTATCTTAAAAGCAGCCAACGTCATTCTTGCGTTGGTCGTGCTTAAGGCCCTCGCATTTCTCGGGGATCGGAGAGCTGGTAGACATCTTGAACAGACTCTGGAGGACAGGCCGGGGCTCTGTAGTGCTCTCGCGAGGCCGTAGGTCCTCGGTACGGACGACATTTCGGAGGCAAATAAGGCAGAGGGTTTTATTACCAAGTTTAAGTTAAGTACAAGACCAGCGCAGTCTCAATTGATGTAGACCTTGCTGGAATGGAAAAGCTATAATTGGAAGAAGAGAAATGGGTATCTTGGATGCCGTTGAATTATAACGACCTATTGCAACGAGAATTCTGTTCAACGTAAAGTACCTATCTATTATAACTCAATAGATAAAGCTTCATCGGCGTTCCGACTCCGACGATAATGATGTATACTCTCGCTTTGTCGCGGCATAAACCAGCGACATTGCGGGGCAAAGAAGCCGCGAAGCTATAATTGAAAGGATTGGCCAATGAGAAGCCAGATATATCCTACGAACGAGCCGAATTCGGCATGAGCTGCTAACATTAATACCGTTTACCAGACCGGCGGCACACTAATAGTTCGATTTCTTCCTCTGGCAGCCAGACCCGACTGTTCTTCTAGACGTACTAGACAATCTATTATCCGATTAGAACCGTTCTTCCTCAGTTCATATCCCTGACCAAGCCTGATCGTGAGTAGTGCCGTTCTTCTCACGGCTTTTACTATTACCTAAGTCGTAAGCTCGTGGGGTTGGATAGTCTAGATTGTGGCGCAACAGATGCAGAAAACCATCATCCGATTTTTGTGCACAGGTAAACAAGCCGGTAGAACATGCTACAAACATGATTATTAGCAGTAGAGTATAAGCGTACAAAACCACCGATAGGGGAATCTAAAACAAATGCAATGCAGCAATCCTCGTGGGTATTATTTTCTTATCCTCCTATTAGACAGACAAATACTGTCCAATCCTAAAGCTGTTCTTTGGCTAGAACTTCGGGCCAAGAGTAGGGCGGTCCACAACTCCACCCTGCTAAATATTTGCACTCGCGTGCCATCTTCGTCACAAAACCCCATAGCAACCCGAGACAAACCGTCTCAAATTGCCAAGCAAAATAAACCTCTATACGCACTAACGGTCGACCTAGGGTTGTTTTCATAGGGGGCGTTCAGGGACGTCTGGTATTGATCCTGGTAGCGAAGGTATGCTGGTTGCGGGGATAGTACTTGCGGCTCCAGACGTACCCGGCCGGCTTCGGTGGGGAGCGAGATGATGATGGGAGTGCACGTTGGTTCCAAACTTCCCAGCTTCGTAGTCAAGCGCCGGAATTGTTAGACCATACGGTTCGGTTTTGCCCTCTTTATCGTGCTGATCGATCTCTATACGTATACACACATCGAGACCTCCATCGTTATTCTTGCCATGTCTCTCGAGGTCGGCCGCCTTGTGTTTGGTTCCAGCACCGAATTCGCCCTGGGATAGGAATGAATGGCCGTTCTTCCCATCAAATTTGTTCTCCGCCGCTTCTTCAGCACCGTTGCTAGCATCGCTGTGATTGTTTGGCGAATTTTCCGTGAGTATGGCATAATTTCGGCTAGGCATCGTGACGTTGTTGGATGATCGTGTCTTGTTGGAATTACCAGGATCCTTATCGAAGAGGGCCATGAGCGTTTCGTCAGTATCGGCGTCGAGATGATGGATTTTATTACGGCTTGCAAGCAGATTGGCAATCGCTGCTGGCGGGGGTTTATTCACAATGGCCGAAGAGACCACATTGACTATGTAACGGTGATCTTTCTCAACAGGAATATGCAAGTTCGGGTTTGAGTAAAAACGCCCCAGAGCCGCCAAGTGCACGTCACCTCCAAGAATAGTAAGTCGGACAGAGAACTCGGCACAGAGTCCTTGGAGTCGGTGGACAAGAGCATTTCGCTCCTTCTTGTGGGTTCTAGCCGTATAGTGATCATCTAAATCGTCAAGAAGATCTACGCTACCATCGAAATGATTGAATACACCACCGCCTGTTTCAGGTATTAATAACCACTATTAGGCGATTAACCGATACGAGTTACTTACCGAATCCGAATCGTCTATTCAGGAACTTCACGGGAGCGATTAAAGGACTGCTAAATACGTTCTCTAGCCAAGTGAGTCGCTATTACTGTTAGCAGGTTATCACGATACTAGACGCAGATAAACCTTACCGGGTATGCAATGGGGATACCTAATAGCAGGATCAAGTGCCTGAAAGGCTGGCCAGCTGCTTGAGCTTTGCCAAGCTCTTCCCTTACGCGGTTGAATATGAGATCGTATGTCTCTTCGTAGTTGACTTGGTGCCGCGTGCGCTCGGTACGCGCATCAATGCCCATGAACGCGATTCTGGCGCCAAGCTTGCTGAACATATTCATCGAGTGCTGAGCGACGTATGGTCCAGGCCTGCTACCGATAATATAAGATGAGTCGAAAGCCTGTGGTCTGACATACGTATCCACGAGTTGCTTTGGATCCTCTTCTGGTCCATGTTCTCCCGCCTTGGGCGCATCGGAAGTGTATGTGGAAGCAGGTGGTGCTAGATGATGTTGAAAGAGCATATAATATTTGTGGGCAGTACCGCCAATGCCTCGGAAGACAT